AGGGACGGCCGGCTCTTGATGACATCAGAGAAGACGACGGCGGTGTGGGAATGGGGCTGTGGCAGCGGATCACAACAGGACAACGCAGAATTCGCTGGGTAGGTGAATATGTGGATCGAGAACAACCCTGCATAACAGGTAGAAGGGGATGGGGAAGGGAAAAAAAAAAAAAAAAAAAAAAAAAAAGCAAAATCGTGAAATCCTGTTCCTGGATCCCTCTGCTGCCAGTCATGACAAAGAAATCTGTGCGACAGGGACAAATACCTGTGTGATCCTGCCCCTGAGCTCCTCCTCCTTCAGCTTTCTGACCACACTAGGCATGTATGCAGATCCATGTTAGCACGGTCAGTTTGTATCAGCTTGACTTCTAATGCTCTTACAGGACGCTGTGCCCACATGCTGTGCGCCTGCAGTCCCGTAGTCAGCCCCCTGCCCAGTGTGACTGACAGCGGCTCCTAACAGGAGTCTGACATAGCAGCAGCTGGGTCTAATGAATGTAACCACACCCTCTGCATGACTGACACGCCCCCCACACCCCCCCCTTCTCGCATGACTAACAAGCATCCCCCCCTCCTCCCATGACTGACACGCCCCCCTACCCCCATTCTCACATGACTAACAAGTATCCCCCCCCCCCGCATGAATGACACATCCCCCTTCCTCCCATGACAGACACGCCCCCCCTACTCCCCTTCTCGCATGACTGACAAGTAACCCCCCCCCTCCCCCCCGCATGAATGACACATCCCCCTTCCTCCCATGACAGACACGCCCCCCTACTCCCCTTCTCGCATGACTGACAAGTAAACCCCCCCCCCCCCCGCATGAATGACACATCCCCCCTCCTCCCATGACTGACACGCCCCCCCTACCCCCATTCTCACATGACTAACAAGCATTCCCCCCACACGTGAATGACACATCCCCTCTCCTCCCATGACTGACACGCCCCCCTACCCCCCCCCTCCTCCCATGACTAACAAGCATCCCTTCACGCACAAATGACACATCCCCTCTCCTCCCATGACTGACACGCCCCCCTACCCCCCCCCCCCTCCTCCCATGACTAACAAGCATCCCTTCACGCACAAATGACACATCCCCTCTCCGCATGAATGACACATGCCCTCCCTCCTACCATGACTGACATGCCCCCCTTCTTGCATGACTGACATGCCCCCCTTCTTGCATGACTGACAAGCATTCCCCCCCCCCCCCCAGCACCGCATGAATGACACATCCCCCCTCTGCATGAATAACACATGCCCCTCCTCCTCCCATGATTGACATGCCCCCCTTCTTGCATGACTGGCAAGCATTCCCCCCCCCCCCCCCCCCCCCCCCCCCCCCCCCCCCCCCCCCCCCGCATGAATGAGACATCCCCCCTCTGCATGAATGACACATGCGCCCCCTTCCTTCCATGACTGACACGCTCCCACCCCCCACCCCCCTCCTCCCATGACTGGCAAGCATTCCCCCCCCCGCATAAATGACATGCCCCCCCCCTCCTCCCATGACTGACACGCCCCCTACCCCCCTTCTTGCATGACTGACAAGCATTCCCCCCCCTGCACAAACGACACATCCCCCCTCCGCATGAATGACACATGCCCCCCCCCCCCCCACCTCCCATAACTGACATGCCCCCCTTCTCGCATGGCTGACAAGCATCCCCCCCCCCCCCCCCGTAGAAATGACACATGGCCCCCCCCCCCCAACTCCCATGACTGACGCCCCCCCACCCCCCTCCTCCCATGACTGACAAGCCCTCCCCTAGCAGAAGCCTCATCATCACTAGTGACCGTAGCCCCGCCCTCCTGCCTTCACAGAGCCCATGTGGTCATGTGACTGCTGAATAACAAAAAGGTGTTCTTTATGATAAATAGTCATTTTTTATAGGCACTTCTTAATGTTTGACACATTGCAGCATTTTCTATACACGGCGCGCTTTCCATTCCACGCCGTCACAAACGTTAACGGTTCGCAATCCGCCCTCCCAGAAAGAAAAGAAAAGCCCCTGGAAATTCCCCACCTGTTCCAGCAGAACCCCGGGCCCTTTAATTCCGCCTCCCCCACCACCTGCCCCGCCTTGGAGCTCTATCGTTACCCCATAATGGCGCACCTGCCCTGCTAAACTACTTTTATAAGATGGGCGCGATATTGGCGTCTTTCATCCTCCTCCATATAAAATGGTTTCCTCCTGCAAAGCTCCTCCACGCCTCCCCTTCAAGCCTATTAAACCCCAAATTGCTTATTGCAAAAAAAAAAAAAAAAAGTTGTATAAGATGTGAGTGTGCAGAGCGCTCACAGATGAGGCCGGCGGCCCGCCGTTCTGTACGACGGTATTGGTCGGTATATCTAATGCCCCCCTCCCCCCCTTTGCCATTTGTTGGACAGGTAAACTTTTATTTTTAATTTCATCGCTGAGGATTTGGCACGCCCGTCGTTAAGGGGGCCGTATACAGAAAGGTGGGTGACGTGTAAAGGTCCAGAAAGATGGGGGGGCCGGGAGAGGGTGGCGGGCTGTTGGCAGAGGTAAAGGGCAGACTTAACGAGATTACACACATCGACTTTGATCACGACACAAAAGCAGCGAGGCGTTCCAAGGCTTTTATTGGCATCTTCGGGCTACGATTTAATGGTTACATTAGTAGCCGGCTATTTCAGGCAGCGAGGACTGCTTTAATAAATTGAGGGCTGAGGGGCGGGGGCGGGGGGCTCCTGGAACACATGAGAGGATGCTTATTAATTGTTTCCCAGCACAAGTGCCAAGATCCTTAATGTGTGTATATGTTTCTAATCCGCCGGCTGGGAACGCGCGCGCTCTCCCCGCGCCGCAATGCTGCCATGTACAATGCCGCCACGTACAATGCCGCCACGCACAATGCCGCCACGTACAATGCCGCCACGTACAATGCCGCCGCCGCAAATGTGCCATCCTCTGCCAGAACTGCCCATAGGACGTCTGTAAAGAAAAGTATCGGGTATTGCTGACTGGAGGGGGGCATGAGGAACTACAAATCCCAGCACACACAACACTAGCCAGGACAAAGCCAGACACACTGGAGGAAGACTGCACGAGGAACTACAAATCCCAGCACACCTACCAGTCAGGACTTTCTCCAATGTGTCCGCCTTTGTCCTGACTGCTGGGTGTGCTGGGATTTGTAGTTCCTCATACCATTATTCTCCAATGTGTCTGGCTTTGTCCTGGCTAGTGGGGTGTTCTGGGATTTGTAGTTCTTCATACAGCCATCCTCCAATGTGTCTGTATGAAAAACTACAAATCCCAGAACACCACACTAGCCAGGACAAAGCCAGACACATTAGAGGAAGGCTGTATGAGGAACTACAAATCCCAGCAGTCAGGACTTTCTCCAATGTGTCCGCCTTTGTCTTGACTGCTGGGTGTGCTGGGATTTGTAGTTCCTCATACAGCCATCCTCCAATGTGTCTGGCTTTGTCCTGGCTAGTGGGGTGTTCTGGGATTTGTAGTTTTTCATACAGACACATTGGAGGATGGCTGTATGAAGAACTACAAATCCCAGAGCACTCCACTAGGCAGGACAAAGCCAGACACATTGGAGAATAATGGTATGAGGAACTACAAATCCCAGCACACCCAGCAGTCAGGACAAAGGCAGACACATTGGAGGATGGCAGTATGAAGAACTACAAATCTCAGCACACCCAGCAGTCAGGACAAAGGCAGACACATTGGAGGAAGTCCTGACTGGTGGTGTGTGCTGGGATTTGTAGTTCCTCATACAGCCAAAAGGCGGACACATTGGAGGATGGCAGTATGAAGAATTACAAATCCCAGCACACTCCACCAGTCAGGACTTTCTCCAATGTGTCCGCCTTTGTCCTGACTGCTGGGTGTGCTGAGATTTGTAGTTCTTCATACTGCCATCCTCCAATGTGTCTGTATGAAAAACTACAAATCCCAGAACACCCCACTAGCCAGGACAAAGCCAGACACACTGGAGGAAGGCTGTATGAGGAACTACAAATCCCAGCACACCCAGCAGTCAGGACAAAGGCGGACACATTGGAGAAAGTCCTGACTGGTAGGTGTGCTGGGATTTGTAGTTCCTCATACCATTATTCTCCAGTGTGTCTGGCTTTGTCCTGGCTAGTGGAGTGTGCTGGGATTTGTAGTTCTTCATACAGCCATCCTCCAATGTGTCCACCTTTTGGCTGTGTGAGGAACTACAAATCCCAGCACACCCCACTAGCCAGGACAAAGGTGGACACACTGGACAAAGTCCTGACTGGTAGGTTTCCTGGGATTTGTAGTTCCTCTTGCAGTCAAATGCGGACACATTGGAGGAAGGCTGTATGAAGAACTACAAATCCCAGCACACCCCACTAGCCAAAACAGCAGACACACTAGAGGGCTGCATGAGGAACCACAAATCCCAGCACACCTATTAGCCAGAACAGAGGTGGACACACTGTAGAAAGTCCTGACTGGTAGGTGTGCTGGGATTTGTAGTTCCTCATACCACTATCCTCCAGTGTGTCTGCCTTTGTCCTGGCTAGTGGGGTGTGCTGGGATTTGTAGTTCTTCATACAGCCTTCCTCCAATGTGTCCGCCTTTTGACTGCAAGAGGAACTACAAATCCCAGCACACCCCACCAGTCAGGACTTTCTCCAGTGTGTCCACCTCTGTCCTGGGACTCATTTAGCAATATGATTTAACAGTTTAATGTCATTTCAAAACTTGAATTCAGTCCTCAGTAAAATAATCCCTCCATGGAGGGCCTCTGTTCAGGAATTATTGGGTGACACCTATCTCCTAATTCTGCTCCAGCGTGGTCACATGCACCCCTGGTGGCAACTGCAAGTGCTCACATGGACGCACGTTGTGCAGACATTTCTCGCTGTTGTCACTATGAGGCGGCCGATCCTTGCTAACAGGGACTAGTTCTCTTTAGGTGGAATAAAGTAACAAAACATTTGTTTACTGAAGTGTAACTCGTTTTTTTCCCCAAAAAATTCTACTTACCCCCTGCAGTCTCCAGCGCGGTCATCCCAGCCAACTCCTCGGTCCAGCGTCGGCAGTCCTCAGGCAGAATGAGATCTCAGAGTATCACCTGAGGCCAGTCACTTCACTGGCTATATGGAGGGTTTACAGCCACTTTAGCCCCTCGCCTACCGGGCGCTTCTACCCCCCCTCCCTGCCCACCGGGCGCTTCTACCCCCTCCCTGCCCACCGGGCGCTTCTACCCCCTCCCTGCCCACCGGGCGCTTTTACCCCCTCCCTGCCCACCGGGCGCTTTTACCCCCTCCCTGCCCACCGGGCGCTTTTACCCCCTCCCTGCCCACCGGGCGCTTTTACCCCCTCCCTGCCCACCGGGCACTTTTACCCCCTTCCTGCCCACCGGGCACTTTTACCCCCTTCCTGCCCACCGGGCACTTTTACCCCCTTCCTGACAGGGGCACTTCTACCCCCTACCTGCCCACCGGGCACTTCTACCCCCTACCTGCCCACCGGGCACTTCTACCCCCTTCCTGCCCACCGGGCACTTCTACCCCCTTCCTGCCTACAGGGCACTTCTACCCCCTTCCTGCCTACCGGGCACTTCTACCCCCTTCCTGCCTACCGGGCACTTCTACCCCCCTTCCTGCCTACCGGGCACTTCTACCCCCCTTCCTGCCTACCGGGCACTTCTTCTACCCCCCTTCCTGCCTACCGGGCACTTCTACCCCCTTCCTGCCTACCGGGCACTTCTACCCCCCTTCCTGCCTACCGGGCACTTCTACCCCCCTTCCTGCATTTCCCAGTGATCAGCGTGTCATTGGACATAGCTGATCACGTGGTAAAAGGCCGCTGTGATTGGCCTTTTACCACATCACATGATCAGCTGTGTCCATAGGACACAGCTATCACGGAGATCGCCGGGGGCGCGCAGGAGAGCGCTTTCTGGGAGGATGTCATACGACGACCTCCCAGACCTGGCCGGCCACAGTGCAGCCGTCATTTGTCATTAAAATACAAAAAAAAAAAAAAAAGGCCCCATTTTACTCCCCTAAAGTTGCAGTCATGTGACATTCCAGCACCTTCTCTCCTCTTGTTTTACAGAGGTGGGGTCCTTCTTCGGGCGTCCACGTCACTGCCTGGCCTGCGGCGGGCCCTCAAATACTGCATGCATGAGGTGGGTGAGTTTTTGCCTAGAAATGATCTTTAGCAGAGATATACATAAGCTGCTGCTGTTTATCAGCGATTTTGAAAATACTACTAGCCTGGCTGTCATGGAGATTCCCTACTTGACCCAGAACCAGCGGATAGCATTTTTCCAAGGCGTTTGCAGCCAGAAGTAGTTACCAAAACCTCCTTCCAGGGGCAGTGATTGCTGGGATTTGTAGTTCTTCACCACCTGACGCATTCACAGGTTGCCCACCCATCCTAGGGACCCTGCTGAAGTTGAAAACTCTCCAGAGACGGGACTAACTGCACCAATTAGAGGCGTCTAGGCCGAGCCCTGATCCTGGGACGACATGAAAGAGTCGAGCTAATGATGTGAGGCCGCAACGGAGACCCAACAATGTAAGAGAGCTGAAGTAATCCGCCCGCAGGAACGGCTGCGCTTATAAAACTGTAAACAGATTTTCTGTTCCGTAATTAGAGCGTTCCCCATCTACCTCCACCCAGAATGGCTGTGAAATGGCCCCGGGCCTTACCAAAGTGCGCAGCCAGCATTCCTCGCAGTGCACGTGCCAGCACTGAATGGACGTCAGGGGCATTGTGTACGAATCCTGGAGAGGAGAGAGCAGGAATTAGTTCTACAGACATTCCAGTATTAAAAGAACATTGCTGAGCAGAGTTGTACGTGTAAAAAAGGGCAGCTGAACACAACGGAGTTACAATTACATCCTATCGGTTCCCCACGTCTCTCCCGGGGCCCAGGGAAAAGTTTAAGTTTTTGCTTTCGCTCACCAGTCTGAAACATTGTCAGAGGATACGGCTTCAGATTCCTGAAATATCACATCCCAAGCACCTCTTTACAAGGTCACTACAATTTGCAGGGTATCCTGTTCTGGAATGTGTATCTTCTTGCTGGAGAGGAAGCTGTACCTAAAGACCTGCCATGCAAGAATCTCCCTGCTTCAGTTCCATTCATTCTGTGGATCTCTGCTTCCTCCACCTTTCCTACTGCTTCCTCCTCATTCTCCCCACCAGTCATCAGGGGGAGAGCTCTGATATGAGAAAGACTGGCTCCTCTACCAAAATGGCCACCTCCACACAGAGTCAGGGTGCACACCAAGACGTGGCAAGACAACAATGATGAAAAGGTCAGCTGCTGGTACGACACAGGCAATACTGGAGGGCAAGGGCCACTAAAATAATTTTGGGGCCCTGTAAAGCCTCCCCAACCTCAGGGGCTCAGCCCGCTTCCGAGCTACCTCCAGACTCGCTTTTCCTAACCCCATAAGAGGCCCTGCCCCCAGTGCTTTTGATCTTGCCTCTTTTCATGTTATCAGTAGGGTAGGAACAGCACTGACACTCACAGACCTCATCTGGCTCATTCTGCTTCCAATCTAAACCTATATCTACCCCAACCCCCCCATACACGACCCAATATGGCCATATTGCCTGAACCCCTATAAGAGGCCCTGTCCTTGGTGCTCCTGATCTTGCCTCTTCTTGTATGATATCAGTAGAGTAGGAACAGGACCACCACTCCCGGACACACTCTCCCCGCCCCTCCGAGTTACCCGATGTGGGCCATTATGGCAGTACTGCCTGAACCCTCCCATTGGAAGCCCTGCCCTGGTGATCCTGATCTTGCCTCTTCTTGTATGACACCAGTAGGGTAGGAACAGGACCACCACTCCCAGACACACTCTCCCTGAGAACCCCCCCCCCCGGGTTACCTGATGTAGCGCATTACGGCAGTACTGCCTGAACCCCATAGGAGGCCCTGCCCTCAGTATTCCTAATCTTGCCTCTTTTCGTATGCCATCAGTAGGGGTATGAACAGGACTGCCACTCCCAGACCTCATCTACATGAGGATTCATCCTGCTTCCAATCTGGACCCCCACCCCCTGATCTGGCCCAATATGGCAGTACCTCTACTGGGGGCCCTGCCCTCAGTGCTCCTGATCTTGCCCAGTTTGTCATCAGTAGGCTGGGAATAAGACTGCCACTCCCAGACCTCCACTACACGTGGACTCATCTTGCTTCCAAGCCGTACCTGGGCCTCTTTGCTCTCCTGATGGTGCCCAGTATACATGTACTGCCTGTACCCCCCTCCCCCTTTTCACAGCTTCAATGGGGACTTGGCCTTTGTCCTCTAACTGCCTTTTTAGTTACAGGTGCCACATGCACGTCCTCTCTCTAGGAGGTGAGCTTTGGCGCCTTCCTAGCCCAATCAACTGAATCATTCATGGTCAGCAGCAGACCTAAACAAAGGGATTGGATACCAGTCACACCCGTGCCCTTACATGGAAACACGCCCGTATTTAGTCCATGACATTGTTTGAATAGAGGTGATTTTGGAAGGTGCCCAAGCACATCTCCAGTCGTCCTAAAAAATCCTGCCTCGTGTCACCCAGCTTCTCCTTTAAAGGTCGGGCCTGGAGTGTGGGGTAAAGGTCACGACGACAGACTTCTGACATGATGTCCCCAAGAACTGCTGAGCGGACAGAGCCCAACCTGCCCCAGGATTTGGTGAATCCCGCTGACATGGCTGTATCTGCACCACACATCCACCACCTACAAAGACATGACTGCATTGATTGCCCGCGCGGATATGCCACTCACCATGCAAATGAGGCATTTGTAGCGGTCCCCTCGGGAGAGCTGTCTTTCCAACTCCCGGATACGTGCCTTTAATGCTTCAAACGTTGTCACCGTTGACTCTTCTGTGATCCTGGGATAAAAGAGACAAAAGCATTTTCTACCAAAATCCATTAATACAAAGAGGAAGGATACACACGTAAAACACAAAATACAGGGAACTGAGGCAACCTATTAACCCAAATCATGAAACCGGTGATGGGGGTATTTGTGCAGAAAGAAAACAGAATTTACGGCATATTCTGCGTTCACTTCCAGCGAGTCCCGTCCCGATTATTAGGAACAGTCGACATTTGGTCATTCTGCAGACTAGTGTGTATGTATAGCACTGACATCTGCACTTCCTTCACACGTCTCAGAGATCGGGTGCCTAAATGTTAGAATATTCCAAGGAGCATTCCCCGTATCACAGAGCGCACGATTCAAAACCCCACACAAGTCCCTTAACCAGTCGGGGGCAACAGATGTACTTCAGGAGCTCAAAGAACATCAACAACCTACACAGGGCACATGAAGGATAGCCTGCCGACCTGCCCTCTCCTGCCTTCCCGCTCCAACCCCAAGTAACATTGTTTATAAACATTGATCAGACAGGAGATTGAGATACAAAGTAACATTGTTTATAAACATCGATCAGATGGGAGATCGAGAGATACAAAGTAACATTGTTTGTAAACATCGATCAGACAGGAGGAGATCAAGAGATACAAAGTAACATTGTTTATAAACATCGATCAGACAGGAGATCGAGAGATACAAAGTAACATTGTTTATAAACATCGATCAGACAGGAGGAGATCAAGAGATACAAAGTAACATTGTTTATAAACATCGATCAGACAGGAGGAGATCAAGAGATACAAAGTAACATTGTTTATAAACATCGATCAGACGGGAGATCGAGAGATACAAAGTAACATTGTTTATAAACATCGATCAGACAGGAGGAGATCAAGAGATACAAAGTAACATTGTTTATAAACATCGATCAGACAGGAGATCGAGACATACAAAGTAACATTGTTTATAAACATCGATCAGACGGGATACCGAGAGATACAAAGTAACATTGTTTATAAACATCGATCAGACGGGATACCGAGAGATACAAAGTAACATTGTTTATAAACATCGATCAGACGGGATACCGAGAGATACAAAGTAACATTGTTTATAAACATCGATCAGACGGGATACCGAGAGATACAAAGTAACATTGTTTATAAACATCGATCAGACGGGATACCGAGAGATACAAAGTAACATTGTTTATAAACATCGATCAGACGGGAGATCGACAGATACAAAGTAACATTGTTTATAAACACTGATCAGACGGGAGATAGAGAGATACAAACAATGTTACTTTGTATCTATATCTCCTGTCTGATCAAGGTTTATAAAGTAACATTGTATCTCTCCATCTCCCGTCTGATCAGTGTTTATAAACAATGTTACTTTGTATCTCCCCATCTCCTATCTGATCAATGCTTATAAACAATGTTACTTTGTATCTATATCTCCTGTCTGATCAAGGTTTATAAAGTAACATTGTATCTCTCCATCTCCCGTCTGATCAGTGTTTATAAACAATGTTACTTTGTATCTCTCCATCTCCTATCTGATCAATGCTTATAAACAATGTTACTTTGTATCTATATCTCCTGTCTGATCAAGGTTTATAAAGTAACATTGTTTATGAAGATCGATCAGACGGGAGATGGAGAGATACAAAGTAACATTGTTTATAAACA